GCAGAGACCGCTCACACACACATGGCACACTCACACGACGACATCTACATCCTTGTGGCATTGTGACCCCTGACCCCCCTCCCCCTGCCACGCCCCTCCTGGTCATCCAGCCCTTTTGCCCGCGTGTTTGCTTAAGTGCCACTAATAATCCATTGTTGGCTTTTGTCCTTGTCGCCGCTGTTTTCGCTGTTCGTTGTTGTTATTGCAGCTGCTGCCGCCCAGACTTTAGCCCTGCCACGCCCCCTCCTCCCGCTCCGCCCCCTTCTTCTCACCGCAACAATCGAACGTTGCGAAACCAAAAGAAATTGCATGTTTAACAGGCGAACGGAAAGGAAAAGAACGAAAACAACGTCGCCAAAAGAACTTTCAAAAACAAAAGTTTTCAAGTCGCAAACAGCTTTCTGTTTGTGTTTGTTTGCTCATACATATGTATGCAGCTGGGGTGTGTGCGTGTGTGTGTTTCGGCGGATTTTGAGTGCTTAAAATTTCAGATTTATTTATGTTTCAGTTTAGCTTTTCGTTATTTTTAATGTTTCCCCTTATGGCATTCAGTGCATCGCGAAAAAATAGGTATATCTTTGAAATTCATTCTGAAAAAAACTAATATTTTCTTCACTTAATTTCAATTCAATCAAATAAATATTAACAATATATTATTTAAAAGAAACGAAAAATTGTATAAAGTTTAATTGTTTTCTATCTTCTACAATTTAAAAATATTTGTATTACTTTGCTTTTTATTAATTAAAACATTAAAAAAATAACTTTACAAAATGTAATATTATCCCACTATTTTTATAAAATGTTCAGTACACATACACAGTCCATATTTTCTCTCAGTGCTTTAAGTCCGCACCCCAAGGGGCATGCGAAATGTGTTTTAAATTAAAGACACAACTTTGGTTGAAATATTTTCGATTTATGCAGATTCTCTTAAACGCTGACAGCGAACGAGTCAGACTGAGTGTAATAAATATTTGGCGCCAAGTGGCAATTTAACAAGGAGATCGAACTCTCTGACCGAGTTCTTTAATCTTTAAAACATGTGCGGTTTGAGTTCGTTTAAATCAGTGCCGTGGGCATTCATCGCGATTGTCATGCTAAAAGGGTTCCATTTATTATTGTTTATTGTATGTATGTGCTTCCAGGAATTGTACTTTTTTTCTGTGGAATTTAAAAAGGCGCGAAAAAATGCACTGCTTGGCAGCTCATATTAATGAGACTGAAGAGTTTTGGCGCAAAAAACTTCTGATTGTCACTAGTAGACCAACTGTCTGGTTGAATATCTTATAAGAAGTGCAGCTGGTGTTCCCAACCTGAAAATACATTTATGTATGGAGATCCAATTAAGGTCAAGGATCCATAAAATGGGATAATAATTATTTAAAAATTCTTTGAAAAGTATTATCATGGAATTACATTTTTTTAATTTAGCTAAGCAACTAAAACAGTTTATGTATCCAAAATAATTACCATAAAAAAATGAATAGGATCTAAAAATAAAATTGTTAAGTACCCAAGAAGTGTAAGTTAGAAAATAACGCGTTTTCAACGGAATTAAATATCTTTTAAATACTCCAGGGTCTTGAAATTAATAGTTGTTATATCTTCGTCTGTAATCTTGGAAACGGCAGCGAATTCCACACCGCCCACCCAACAACCATTTCGAAGCTATTATGCAATGGACCTGAGGTGACCACTCCACTCCGTTTCAACCCAACCCATTCCACTCCTTTCGATCTGGCGGCATTCTACAAATGTTGTGCTAAATAGCGCATTTAGCTTGTTAGCGTCGAGAATTATGTGACAACTCTATATTGGGCCTGGGTCTTGGTGTCTCTATCTCTATCCCTCGGCACCCAGGGAGGTCTCGCACCTCTCTTTTTAACTTGGCCAAGAGCGGCGATAAATATTCAAGTGTAAATGGATATGGGCAGAAGAGTGTTGCGGGGGGCTTAAGCCAAGCAATGAACTAATAAAGGGGCGATAGGCCGAGGGGGTGGTGCTATAGAGGAAGGCCAACGCGGACGCTTTATTAGCCAGACTTTCTTGCTCTTTTTTCTCTTTCTGAATTTTCTTCATATTATGGCCGTAAGAGCGCGCCGCAAATGCGTTGCCATAAATTTAAAGCTTTGCCACGGCGACTCCGGGAATGTCTATAAAGACATTTACCGGCAGCGGCGACGGCGGCTCCGCTAATGAAGATCAACGAGTCGGGACTGAGATTCAGACTGCAGGTGGGTGGGTGGTTGGCGATTTCCCAATGCCTTCCATTGGCTTCCTCTAAAGGAACGCATTTCTATGCACATCGCGCGAATATTTCATAAATTTCATTCAATTTTTATTAAACACAAGAAATATGAGCTTCTGTAGGAGCCACGAACGTTGGGCGCAAATGATTGTCCGGGGCAGAAAAAAAAAGAGGACGCAGCAAATCCTGCACCGGAAATCCTCTCATTACGCCAGACTTGTAATTAATCTTTGGAAAATTAAAAGAAAAAAGAATAGGGCCAGGGAAAAGCGATGGAAACTTTTGAGCCCATCGCGCGGCTTGGGTTCTGTGTACACCTGTTACACTTATCTTTTCTCTGGCGGTCCCGGGGATCCCGATCCGGTTTTTTGGGTCCGCCGAAAGGGTTTAGGCTTAGGATAGGTTGTCTGCGATTTGTTGGGCTCGGTAAATATTTGCAAATGAGTTTGAAATTAATCCGGTTTACTGATTTTCTGCGAATCTCGTCCGCTTTCAAACTGTCTAATTAATTTTTTCCATTTTTTACAAGAGTAATTCTACGAATGGTTACAGTAACCTGGGAAAAAAATCAGGCTTAATGATTTGTGATATTTTTTTTTAATGATAACCTCTAAAATATCGTCAATTAATTAATAATTAATTTATACTTTAAAAAACTTTAGAAATCGAAAATAAAAAATTGTAAAGCGGTTCTTATGCACCTAAAATACAAAATAAATGGTAGAATGTTGCCTGATATTTTGCTGACAAAAATCTTTAAATTCAGTTTATCTATCTTAGCTACTTCTAGGGTATCTGAACTTCGCCTTCGCCTTCGAAGACAGGTTCTATTCCATTTGTTATTTATGACCGGACTGAAGGCATTTGCCGGGCTGACATCCTTGGAAATGGACAATAAATCCAGAAGACAGGCTGACAGAAGCTGGCTGCCGCAGAGATTGAATGGCCAGAAAGGACGGGAGCACATAAATTTTTATAATTTTCCCTTTTCTTTGCTTTTTTTCTTGGTTTTTTTTTCCCGATGGCCGCTTTTGCATGGCAGCTCAAGCCAGGCCAATTGGAGCTGTGTAAGCCGAGTCGTGGAGTCGGGACTCAGACAACCAGCTGTGTCTTCGGTTTCCTTTCTCATCAGTTTGTTGTTCTTTTCTTTTATTTTGGTTTATCTTCTTTTTTTGTATGTTTTTAAAATCTTTTTTTGACGCCTAAGCCGAGAACGCGGGCGACACTTGAGTGACGCCCTGACTGGCGCCATCTAGCGGCAGCCGGGTGCGCGTGCATAACTTGCGTTTCATTATAATGAGATTATCCCTTTTGCTTGTACAGTGTTACTGCCTCAGTGGCTGAATATATATATATATCTCCTCCTGGGAGGATTGGAGTGGCACATTTCCATCTTTGGCTCAGAACTGCAACAGCTGTTTGTGTTTTCCTATTTAAATTATTTCTTTCCCTTTTGACGACTCCTTGTTATTCGCATTCGTCCTGTTTTTCACGCTCCTTGGCCACTGCAGCATCAGGATTATTCAGCTTGGGACTTGGGACTCGGGCTCTGGGTCTTATTTAACTCGAGCAAATAGCTTTTCCCGTGGGCAACTAATTGGAATTGGGAGAGATGAAAGGTACTTTGAATATCATCCTTTAAAACTGCAGTCAATCTTTCGATTGGATATACTTAATAAATGCTTGTCAGCGGCTAAAATAGAATATATTTATGTCTTAAAAAACAAGTTAATGGCTTCTGCTCATCATCGATATGGAATTTCGTTGTTCCGCATTTAACTTTCCCCCAAAATGAACCAGCATCGTTTGTCAATCAATTCCTAAGCCCCATACCATTTTAATTGAATTTCGATTTAGACCACCAAAGTAAATTTCCAAAAGCCATTTACCATGTTCGAATTATGCAAAAATGTGTTAGGCACGATGTAAAAACATCAAATGACACGAGCTTGTTGTACGTACATTTGTCAATTTATTTATGTTATTTCCTTCAATCATTCGGAATATTCAAATTGATTGGGTCACGCCAAGGCCAAGCCCCGCAGCCGCAAAACTCCAAGCCCTAAAGCTCATGTTGGAAAACCAATTAGAGCCGAAACAACAATAACGACGAAAATAACATCACAACATCAGCTAACAAGATCAAATCGTGTAATGTGCCTCATTACAACATCGTTTTGTACAAATATTTTTGTGTGTGGCCCCAAGAAAAAGAGGTGTGAACTTGAGGGTTTTCAGTGAGTTTTTTAAAGGTTCACGCGAAAATGGGATTTAAATGGTGGCATTAGTTATGGGAACAAGTCATTGGATGAATTCGATTATAAACGGTAATGAAATTCATGATTTTCTCCTCTGTGATGTAATACTAAGATTTATCTATGAGTTTTAAAGCAGCTTAAAATAAATTCAGTATTTATCTAAACATTCGATTAATTTGATTATAAACTGTGTTAAAATTCATGATTTTCTTCTGACTGAATAATATTTATATTTATTTAACTTATTATGCCAAACATTTTATTATAAATGGTATTGAATATCATGATTTTAAAACTGCTTAAAATAAATTTGGTATTTATATAAGCATTTGATAAATTATATTATGAACAGTATTAAAAGTCGTGATTAAAAGTCGGTATAGAAATTGGGACTTTCTTCTCAGGGATTTAGTAATACCTATATTATTCTTAGAGCTTTAAAAGTATTTTACGACTTTTATATTTTTTCGAAAAAAAAACAAGAAAACGGATAAGATGCATATTTCGATTTATTATAAGCTGTTAGATTTTGTTAAATAAAAGTTTTCGGTCATTACTATATCCACTGCACGAAAAGGTTGAATTTCCAGAGGAATACCAATCACTGATTACACTATTAACACTAAGGCTTATCGTGGGACTGATGGTGCTGGTGTCTCCTGTTCTGCGGATCGTAGTTGAGGACGTCGAAGGTCAGGATCTTGTAGAAGGACACCGACCAGCCCACATCGTCCATGCGGGGCACGATTCTTCCGGTGAGCGGCAGAGATGCCGTAGCTTGGTTTGAATTCTGGGCCTGGGATCTCAGGGGATCCAGTGCAGATTGTATAAAGGACTGTTGCAGTGGCTTGGCATTGGCCACTGGCGGTGGAGTTGCTGTTGGAGCATTAAACTGCGAATTGAAGGGGAAGTTCTGGGCTGGTCCCCGTCTTGTATCAGCCGTATAGTCCCTCCGAAAGCGAATGAAGATCTCGGCAAAGACAATCCGATGTGGAACTGCCACCACTTCCGGCGGCGTCTTGAGTTCGTTGTCCATCCGACGGATGATCTCGCTGACCTCCACCACCTCGGTGGCCGTGTCGAAGTCCTTGGTGTTGCGCAGACCCACGAACAACATGTCTATGAAGGCGTACTTCCTGCCGAAATTCTGGCGCGTGGCCACCTTCATGGGAATCGCTCGGCGCAGGTGTTCCCGCTCGAACCTGACCAACTGGAGGCGGGTGTCGTTCCGCGAGAGCAGCATGTCCCGGGTGATCTGCTGGAAGCCCACCGGCGTGGTGAACTCGCTGATCCGCTCCGCACTCTGCTGCCGGATGATGTCCGTCATCACGATGGCCGCCTGCTTGGCGCCCTCCAGAAAGTCAGGCTCGCTGAAGTCCCGGTCCCAGAGCCACTTGAGCTTCCACAGATTGAACTTGGTCACCAGGTACTTCCACGGATTGTGCAGATAGACCAGCTTCGGAATGGTCTTCCTTCGCTGATCGTGCGCCGCACTCTGGCGATCCCAGTCGTGCAGCTCGCGATGAAAGTCCCCGCATCCGCAACCGCAACTGCATCCCGATTTCCGGGGATTGGGGCTGCCATGCGATGTGTGGTGATTGCCAAGCAATTGGTTCAGTGTGCCATATTTACGTAGAATTTTTGATAGCATCGCGACTCCTAGAAAGAGGCACTTTGCATTTTTTTCGTCCCAACCTCGTCGTCGTCTGTGCCCTGGAGAGAAATAGTCGTGTTTTTGGGTGACTCCTAATTTTGAGCAATTCAGACACAAACAACTGACAGCAATGGAATTCGAAAGCAAACTGAAATACGAGTGCGAAAATGTGGGGTTAATTTATGCAATTTTCCAATTAAATCGCTTTATGAATTTTTCAAAAATATGTGTTTAAATTTCATAGTTCCTTTAATAATTTCTTTTTAAATATTTCACCCAAATAAATTCGGATTCAGTTGAGACTGGAAATCTCTTCCCATCCAAAACATCCCACACAAACTTTGGATCCCAGGTAGCCCCGAACCCAAATGACAAGCCAAGATCGTAAAGCATTATTCCGCCGATACATAAATTATATTCCGACGTGCGTGAGTGTGCAAGGGTCGTGTGGGCTTCTCCTCTTCGGGTTTTCTCCAGCGACAAGTGGCCCTTGGTCAGGGATTTCGATGGGTTTTAACCGGGGAGAAGTTGCAGGGGAAACTGCCGCTGAGCCTCTGAGGTCTCACGCAAACGACATAAAAATTAACAATGAAAATGGAAAAGAAATGAAAAGCTTTCAATGCAATTGTTACGCTCTGCTGGAAGATGCGTATTTAAATGGCGCGGCGAATTTAATTATGTGTAAACTTATTGAATGGAAAATTAAACAGTAGTTAAATCACATGGGGTCGCCGTTGAACAGCCGAGAAGAAATGTTGGTTTTAAGTTGTGATACATAATAGTATAGTGAGATAAAAAGTAATATTATAAGAAGTAAGCAAAGGTTATTTTGAAAAATTCATTTAATGCCCCTTTAAGAACCCAAACTGTTAATCCCATCAATTAACATTTACTTGGTTTTAGCCATACATTAAATCGGACATTTAAGACGAACATTTTATAGCTGGTCAATGGCTTCTTGTATGCCTTTCGCATAGAAAATGCTAACCGGGCAGACTTGAATGCATACAAAGTAACCACCTCAAGCACCCAAACTCCCCAACTATTCTAACGTTTTCAGTTTATCAATTCGATATCCCAAGTGAAGATGGAGAGGAGTGGGGCCAAGATACTCCTCCAAAGTTGACACAAAATGCGTGGTCGTCATCGTCATCGTCAATCGTCGCATGACATCGCAAGAAAAACTTCCCAAGGTGGAAAGAGACAGCTAGCTTCGGGCAGAAAGAGAGCGAACGATATGGAATGAGTGAGATAAGTATCTTTCATGGACCGCCGCATTGCAACTGCAGCAGCAACAAAAGATAAAGAAAAGATACAACGGGGGAAAATTCAAATTCAAACGAAAATAAGTAATTCATTTCGCTGCGGTTTTCCGACTCCACCGTCGTCGTTTATCTTGCTGCTCATTAAATCATTCAGCTGTCAATCAATTTCGATGCGGTTGTCTTGGGTCTGAAAACGAATTCCAGCCTTCATTATTTTCCCTGCGTTCCGTTTCTGCATTTCTGAGGTGGTCAGCTCAACCGCAGACTCGTGGATAATTATACAGCCATCTGTAATGAGTTCCAACGGCATGTTCTTTGTTGGCCCATTAGAAGTTGTACAATTCAATCCATGATTGATTGGTTGGATTACTCGCGAGTAACTGTCACACAGAGCTCCGAATTCCAGGCCGAGCTCCTGAATATGCATTTTTATTCTACAGATCTACATCGGCGGTTTAAAATTTCGCTTGTAAACCCCCATATATGTATCGTTAGCACAAGCGCAAGTATCTCTTGTGTGGATTTCCATATCTTTCGGTTCGGTTCGCCTGTCGTCGTACCTGTCAGTCCATTCAGGTTAAATCAATCATACACAAAGACTTCGGAACGGAGACCTGTCAACACGGTTCATTGTTTGCTTCAGAGCGGCATTTAATGAAAAAGACCGAACCCGAACTCAAACTCGAACTCTAAAGCCCCCCATCCCGCATTATGGTGCACTACTTATGGATATGCTATCCAATCGGTTCCCATTTTATCCGCACTCATAGATTGTAAATTTATGCGCGTATCTCACAGATAGTTCGTGCAGTTATTTGCATTTTTCTCTATGGCCTGGGCACATATTCCTCATACGGGTGGTCATTTAGCATATTTTGATATTGAGATTTATTGACAAGATTGGAACGTGGCTGCAGCTTTGTCGGCACCAAAGCACCAAAGCGGAAATGTTTCCGCCCCCGCAGCCGCCTCAATTATGTCAAAACGCGGTCCCTACTCCGAAATTAATTGAGCTCGTACCCCGAAAATCGTATTGAATTTCACACTGGGCGCCCCGTTTAGGCAACTTGACCACAGAGAAGAACAACAGCAGAAATCAAGACTAAGAGCGTGCCATTGGAACAATGCCAAGTCCAGATGGATTGGATTTAGTGGGGAATTAAGTGGAAAGCACTGAGAAAAAAATTATATCATATTCATTATATTTCATATTGATAGTAAAGAGAAAGCCCCACACCCTAAGAAATTTTTTTTTCAAAATTTGATAATTGTTTTGAAAGGGATAATTTATTTATAGTAAACACTGCATAAAATAAACTAAATTAATTGTCACTAGTATTTCAATACGTAAAATTACAATTTGAAAAGTTTAGATTTAATAAAATATAATAATAAATATAAAAACTCACTTGCGATATTTGCAATCTTCATCCTGAAGACACCTGTACTACCTATATTTACTAATTTCAGAAATAGTTTTCTCTCTCTGCTGGAATAGAAATCTATACGCTTTGAAACCTTGCAAAGTGCGCGGAATGTGGTCGCGTCATTGAAATGCGATACGAGACCTCCAACTGAAGAGATCGTGAGGAATTGCCCATGAATTCCGTGTACACTTCTAGGGTTTCCAAGCTGTCACTCTGCGGTGGGTTATTCTCCGCCAGATTCGCACATTTCGAGGCGGTTGGTTAGGTAGTTGGTGCAATTTGTCTGGCAAATCGATCGCCACTGCGGCGAATGCGGAAACAGCGAAACCAATCCGCTTGACGATCAGGTTGAGGTCAGGTCTTTTCCTTTTCTTTGGCCCTTTCCTCATGCTCAATCGACTGGTAATCGAATACCCTCACGTATTCGAGATCCTTTGTGCAGTGATTCATTTAAAATCCTCCAACTCTTCTAATGTGTCAGGGGCGACACCTAAGAGACCATTCACGTGATCTGCCTGCCTTATGGCCACTTAAATTGGAGTTTTTAGGATGGGGATGGGTATTCTTCGGGGGGCGACAACCTGTCAATGGCTGACACTTCACTTGTCGCCCAGCCTGATATGTGGGTCCGATGTGATGGAACTGTCGCCGTCTTCCAAGAACTGTCTGCGGACTTTGCACCCCATCAAAGATCCCCCAACCCACCCATCGCTGTCCTAGGCGATCCGTTTGAAAACTGGGCAATTCGATTATTTATGGCCCCAGATCGGTTCGCCTTTCCGATTCAGTTTGCGTGCCAGTCCATCGGGTGCCACCCAAAACAAATACGGGAAAACCCAAACTAGGGAAATGACGAATATCAAATGCTCTATTTATAAGAAATATTATTGAATTTATTATTTTTAATCCTTTCTTGAAGTCAACTAATTTTGAATATTCCTTAAACTCAATATACTTTATCTTTAATTTATTTAAATTAAAGTCAAGCTAATATACCCTTTTTTGTAGCGCATTTCTAACCAGATTTGTGGGCGGTCTGCAGCTACGAGTCTATAATGCCAATGCGATCGATTTGGAGGCCCTGGTCTCGAATTTATCTATGGGATTCTCCCACGTCGTTAACATCTCCCGGGCTCATAACTCACCTCGCGAACGAAGAAGACCAACTGCATTACCCAGTAACCCAGAATTTCCATAGAGAGACACACATCAAAGGAGAGCCAAAAAACAAAGTTCAGACTTTTTAGGTTATTTCTTTTGTGTGTGTGTTGGGCCCAGAAAATAAGTCGTACAATCGTACGTAAAAACGCTAATATATATATCAACTCAAAGACCCGAAATGCGGACCACGAGAGGATGTAAACAAAGCCAAAGCCCAGAAATGCCAGAGCGCTCTGCTGACAGTAGCCAAAAAAATATGTCATAAAGAGATACGGTCTGCGTCAATATTGACACAGTCAACAGGGGCGCAAAAAGGGGGCGTGGTAGGTGGTGGGCGGGGGGCGTGGCGGTGGAAAGCTCTGTTGACTTGCAAACAGCTCGAAAAGGGAAATATATAGAGGGACTGAGGGAGAGAGATTGCCCATTTGCTCACCTGCAAACAAACTGGGAAGAGTGAGGTGATGATGCCAAAGCCATGGAGTCACCATCCTCCAGATCCTCCAGACCACACAACCATTATCTTTGTCGTCATCAGCGAGGTAATTCTCATTGTTATGAAGTAAATGCCGCAGGGCAAGTAAGCCTCCTAAGTTTCACTTGGGTATCCTTGAAGTCAGAGGGGATATTGAATATTTAAAGCAGGTTGTTCAATTAGAGACAAGAATATAATATAAGAGATAATTAATACTACTGAATTTAAAAGATAATTAATTTATGTTTCGTATAAAAATTAGGTTAAGTGCCAATTAAATCTATGTTTTTTCTGAAGAATACATACATAATTTAATTTGAGTGGATAGTTTTACATAACTATTTTAGCTAATCCACTTTCCTCATTGAAGAACTACCCACCGCACGAACTGCTTATGTGTGTCCCCTGACATTTGCGGATTCACCAGCCGCATACCCCAAACATTTAGATGGCTTTTTGGGTTAGCCAAGTCGAATTGTGCTACTTATTTACCCCATCGCCACCAACAACAACAACAGCAGCAACAGTACGTGGAACAAGGAAAAATTCCCGAAATTCTTTTATCGTTGGATAAATATTTATGTTTCCAGTGGTCCCTGGCGACTAAACCCCAAAATTCGACACGCGCATAAACAATGAGAGTGGGTGAAAAGTGGGCGGGGAATTGGGATTGGCGGTTTTTTAGTCGGAAAGGGGAGTGGGGTGGAGAGAGACTCAAGCCCCCGAAGTGTGTGACCCATTTTCAGAGAGGGTATTCCTCTGTAGACTTTTCAGGCTCCTGACGATCCATCCCTCAACCCAACCCCCT